TGTATTGTACTTTAACTTCAAATACAATTATAATTAAAGTTTATTTGATCATATTTAATGTCTGTTTTTACTGTATAAGTTGCGAATTTATTAGTCGAAATATTACATAATAAAAATATTTAAAAAAATACGGGTTTTTTTTAATTTTTAATGCTTAAAAATTATTTTGTGTTTAAAACATGTTTCAGTTTGTAATTAATTGTAAATTAAAATAAAAAAATGTTATTTATGCACACAAAATTAATTAATTAAAATGCGGGTTAAATTGACCTCCATTTTAATTAATTTATTTTCCCCATGTGCAGAGCACTTACGTCACGAAAAGTGTTACGCGAGTTCTTAAGAATTAAAGTATATAACTGATTTTTCTTTTTTCTTTTCCATTTTTTAAATAAATTTACAAACTAGTTAAAAATACAATTTTACTAAAAAAAAAAATATTACCTGTGTTGAGTCAGGATGATATTATTTTTCGCAATAAGATATATATATTCTACAGAATTTAATAAGATGCTCATTGGCATCAAAATTATTAAATTGCTTGTCAATTTAATTTGTGATATTATAATGAAGTCAAGATTTAATTTGGAAGTGTTTCAAGACGGCCAAATATTCGGCGCGCAATTTACCGGAACTAAAAATAGTAAAAAATTCATATAATTATTATTAAGCACCAATTAAGATCCACTTCAAATCGCATTTGGCATTCAAATAATTTAGTCAACAATCCATGGAACAGTGAAAATACGTTATAATCACGCTAGCAATTGAGATTATTAAGATTGAATTAATTTGATCAATCAGAAAAAAACTAATAAATAAAATCAAGTTTGGTGAATTTTGCTTTGATTGGTCAACTCTCAATTCAATCTCAATCTCAATTGCTATAATATATATATGTGATTACGACTTTAGAAAGGTCAAAATTATATTCTGTTTGTAATTTTAGCTCATTCAGTTTGAGCACAATTGGTACTGCATATATATATATATTATTAACAATTTTAAAATTTAATTTTTTTTCTGTATTAATCATATTATTAAATTTATAATAATTTACATTTTATTTTATTGTCTACATGAAAAAGATTCGCATCAACATAAACAATATAAATGATACGTAAATAATGTAGACGTAATTTTCATCAAAATATACGGCACAACCCTGGCCTATATTCTGTTTGCAATTTCAGCTCATTCAGTTCGAGCACAATTGGTACTGCATATATATATATATATATGTATATATATTATAGTATTAACAATTTTAAAATTTAATTTTTTTTCTGTATTAATTGTATTATTTAATTTATAATAATTTTATTTTATTGTCTACATGATAAAGATTCGCATCAACATAAACAATATAAATGATACGTAAATAATGTAGACGTAATTTTCATCAAAATATACGGCACACTGCCCTGGCCTGGCAGTCAACTCTACGTATTTTATCGGCAGTAGTCAAGGGTCCCCGCAGCCGCTATGTGACCGATGTGACCACAGACATCTATTAGACACCTAACAAGTTAACAGTCTCAATCGCTGTATGCGTGTATGCCTGTCATAACCCGTTTGCGTCAGCTGTGGCATTGGGGATGTGTACTCCACTGCACAAAGAAATGACAATAACTTTCTCGATCTGTCACTGTTCGTAACGAGGTGGAGGTGCACTGATAAGGGATGCACATACACATCGACAAAGGTTTGCCAAGTAATTTTCATAATAAAACGCACGGAAGAAGAAACATGTGTTGCGACTGATATAAGTCGTTCGGAGAATTAAGTCCTTCACGCATTGCCATTTCTCTTTTCTTTTTTTTTAATAGTTTCTCTCAAATATCCGTGCACTATTCGCTGTTAAAAGGCATGGAATTGTGGAAGCGAGCCGCGCAACTTGAGTGTCATTCTGCAATTAATCTAATCGCCGTGTGTTTTGCAGGACGACACGCTCGGAGATAAACGAGGATGACGAACGAGGTGTCGGCGAACATTCTGACACTGAACTGTTGGTAAGCATATTCCGATGGAATCTTTACGCTCGTATATCGCATAACGCACACCCGAATCGTAATTTTTAATTCACGTCCCGACATCTCTCCAGGGGCATACCATATGTCTCGAAGGACAGGAGCACGCGTATATCCGCCATCGCAGAGAAATGTGCCAGCAGGGAGTACGACGTGGTTTGCCTGCAGGAGGTTTGGTCCGTCGAGGATTTTAAGCTGATAAAAACGAAGGCGCAGGAAGTGCTTCCCTACTCGCATTACTTTCACAGGTATATAATCGTCCATCCTGAGTCGATGCTCAGAGAAATACCAGAGAATTGTCTGTTCGATATTTGCAATCTTACGCAGCGGAGTCTTCGGTTCGGGGGTGTGCATCTTGTCGCGATACCCCATTCACGATGTCATGTTTCACAAGTGGCCCCTGAACGGTTATGTTCACAAGATACACCATGGTGACTGGTTCGGCGGCAAAGGGGTTGGGCTGTGTAAAATACAAATTCGCGACATGAACGTCAACGTTTACATCACGCACGTACGTCCATTCGGCAGGCTTTTCCGTTGTTACTTAATTATGTATAAAGTGTCATTCCTCTGCACGAGATAGAAACAATAATCTACGATCAATGTATCACGACGACTAGCTTTTGAAGGATATGTGTCAAATGTATTCACCGTTCTCGCTCCACAGTTACACGCTGAGTACAATCCCGAGAATGACGAGTACATGGCTCACCGGGTGCTGCAGGCGTTTGACACTGCTCAATTCGTGAGGATGACGAGCGGCGGCGCGGACGCGGTCGTACTGGCCGGTGATCTTAATACGGAACCGCAGGACTTGGCGTACAAGATTATACGCGGTGTTTCCAGCTTGACGGACACGTGCCCCAACAGCTCGAGCCACATAGGGACCAACGAATGTGCCAATAATAGTTACACCAGCTCAAAACTCGCTCGTACGAAGCCAGACGGCAAGCGTATAGATCACATTATGTACTCAGGCTCAAAAACTGTGAAGGTGAGGCATCAGCGCGACGAATATGAAAATCATCGCTGCATTAATCGCTAAATCACGAATTGATCCGTAGGTTGAAGTTACAAACTTTCAACATCCCTTGCCAAATCGTATACCATATAAGAATTTCAGTTATTCCGACCACGAAGCTGTGATGGCTACGCTCAAATTCACCGATAACGGTAGGCGATGCATTTAAATACACCCGCATGTGTTACACACGTACATGTGCATTTGTTTCTTATTCGACTTACCTCTTTCCAATTAATGGATCTTATACATTTGTTTGCAGATAAACATGCTACGGACGATGCAGACGTTAGTGATTCCCTGAAAGAGGCAGTAACGATTTGCGAAAACGCATTGAAAAGTGTAGAACGCCAACGTTTCTGGTACGCGCTGTCAGCCTGTATGTTGATCATCCCATTAATTTGGTCCATCTGGATGAATTGCATGAACACGTCTCTAGCCGTAGACATCGGTTTGAATATAGTATGTATTTTTCTGACTGCAATATTATGTTACACTCTGTTTATGAGTTCAATATGGAACAGCGTGGAGAAGAATGCGTTGAAAGCGGGATGCTTAGCTATAGAAATTTACATGACGCAATTGAGTAATGATCCAAACTGAAATTTAGTCAAGTTTATACAATAATACAAATACTTCCAAAAGTGGACACAATAATTATTAAGCTCAAACAAGTTTCGTTAAAAAAAAAACTATATAAATTTGAAGATGACTTTCATATCAAGTTTGCATTTAAATTCTATATTTATTGATTGTTATTGAATAAAACTCAGAATTCTCAATGTAGAGTGAGTTTAAAAAGTGAGATGAAAATACCAAAATTGAAACTGTGAAACTGTATCACTCGCAATGACTGCTTTTTTTTTTAATTACTTATTATTAACAGAAAGTTGTGTTATAGATGTATATCTAGAAATAGATATTTACAACATTACCGATCGACCAATTATAGAAACTATGCATATCATTCCACGGGAATCAACATTGTGGTAAAAGTATATCTACATATTCGTGCATTTATTTCTTCGATCGTAATGTTGAAACTCGAGTTTTAGTTCTTCAAATCCAGTCTTTCAGGCGCTATTGCATGTTACTTTATACGAATTGCGCTTTGTATTTCTTATATCGACCATACTAGGATACAATATTAAATACCTGTATTAAATAATAGTTATGTATATTAGGTTTGTAAAATTTTCCGAGATATTTCGTATTTATTCAATATGGCATTATATATTTTATTATAATTATAATACAATGCTATAAAACGAATGGTTATTGCCTTTAAAATTTCCTACAAGCTCCATGGAACCTCCATATACATATGTTGCATGGGAATGTCATTTAGTATAAATGTATTCAAATACATATAGAAATATTAATTCTATATGGTCATTATGCACATGTTTACCATTCGTAAGTGATTATATATACAATTTAGATACATATAGAATAAAATGGCTTCTAATAAATAACGTTTACATAAGAATGTATATATATAATAAGATATATATTATATAATATATATGGTATATACATTATATAGTGTACATATTATATTTTTACCTATATGTACATTCTTATGCAAATGAAATATATAAATTATATATATATTATATTTATATATATATAATTGACTAAGCAGCGTATAGCCAAAGAAATTGAGATGAAAGCTCAAAACGTGGCTGTTCTTGCATTGTATAGCTTTCATATATATTTGTTTCCTTCAGTGATATCGTAAACGTTATCTAAAAGAATATTTATAAATTTGTTTTGTAATGATGAAATTGCCTACATTTTCTCAGACGCTCTTTGGTTTTCATTTCCTTCGCGGTACTTTAGGGCAGTTGTTCCACGTAATTCTTCGGCACTAAACCCGTTTTACCGTTCAATGTACCTTCCAGCCAACCTGGCTCCAAAGAGGCCTTAACTGCAATAATACATATTTTGTTACGTGTTTTTTTCCACGTAAAAATTGAATATCCTCGCTCTTACCATTTGTGATAATTTGATTTGGTTCGAATGACAATTCGCCATCGTTTTCCGCCATACACGCGTATAAGGTGCGCACTCTCCTGAGAATTTTATACAAATTTAGAATCTCAATCTTTTTAAATCTTACCTTAGCTCTCTATAGATGTAACTTAAATACCGACCACTAATTACATAGCGTTATTCCTTGTAAAAAACCGAGTCGAAAACCATTTTCTTCTGCAGTGCTAAATAAAGTGATCACTGTACTGCGGTAATTATTGCTTCATTAAGCATTGTAGACAAAAATAGCTCTTAAATAGCATACTCATTAATCATGTAGCACTACTACGTATAAAAAATTTTTCTCTACAATGCTCAACGAAGCAGTAATTACTGCGTGCTAGTGATCACTTTATTTAGCACTGTAGAAAAAAAAATGATTCAGGACTTTTCGACTCAGTTTTTTTACAATTAATAACACTACGTAATTAGCGGTCGGTATTTGAGTTACACCCGATATACTTACCAGATTCCTGGAATTTGACCAGGACTCGAACGTCCGCTACTGGGCGAAGTGTTGATGCTGCAATCATGCGTAAGTTCATAATCACAAAAGAATAACATTTGTAGAACAAAATAATAGAATAAAATAATTTTTTGTCAATGAAAGAATCTTACGGGCATATCGACGAGTTGCTACGCTGAGGATAAGCCGTGGGATAGTGCACGGATATCATGGTGCCACGTTTTTGCTTTATCGGTAACTCGCTCGTAAAGGGATGGGGATCCGAGGCGATCGATTCGCTCGAGCTGCTTGTATTGCCACCGCTCAGAACTGGGATAATAAAGATATTTTCGTTCAAAAGACGACGGCCAGAGAAATTTATCGCGAGATAACGTGTGTGTGTGTGTGTGTGTGTGTGAGAGAGGAATGTAACAAGAGACCTTTGTCGGCTGAATGATACATGAGATTCGCGTTAGTCAGCTTTATCCGACTGCCACTGGTACCACCGCCGCGACTGTCCAAGTACGTTGGTATACGATGACTCGTGCTGTCGAGGTCTTCGTAATCCCCGTTATTTCTCTCGTCGATCGTGGGCGACTTGTTAACAGTCAGAGGCTGACCGTCGTAGTACGATCTTGTAACGAGCTAAGTACGTACACATATATAAATACACATAATTATGGCGAGGAAAGGCAAGACAGCGCTGGAAAACTCACGTGCGCGTGCGACGATGGGGGTGTAACCGTTACCGCCGTGTGTAACGGATATCTTAAAAATGCCGTTCCATTACCCGAGGAAGTCGGGCCCTCGTCCACCTTGACGCATTGCGCTTTACTCGGGATAACGGTGGCCTGCAGCGCGGACTGCGCCGCTACCGCGCGCTGCAAAGCGTCCTGTGGCGGTCCAGCTACTATTCTCTCGCAATTTTCAATCAATATTTCCACGACGATATTGTAAAACTTGATGTCCATTATAGAAGCCACTGTTTCTTCTTCCGGCCGTAACAAAGTCGGACCGAAGCACACCGCCAGGTTCCCCACGGTCATCAGATTTTTATCATTTTTCTTCGCCACGCTGAAAATTTTATTACAAGCTTAAGAATAAAAAAATCTGATAATACGGAAGGAAAATATTTTCGAGATTAAATCCCGTGATAAACAAGTAAAACTTGAAAGTAAAGTGCTAAATTCCAACAAATACTAATTGTAAATATTTCTTACGTGCAGAGATGAGTGATGAGAAGGATCAGCATATTGAAATTGGCTTTAGGCAACCGATAAACGAGGTTGTGTATATCATTTATCCGGGTTTCCTTCATCTCCTGTTCTGTTGAATGCCATAAAATTTTAGTTTTGTACTCACGTTTTATTTACATGCAGAAAGAACGTGTCGAAAATGATAACGGTGGGAAAAACGAATAAGTGTTTACTTTAGAGAAGCACAGAGAGAAAGCGAGAAGAGCGAATCTCTCGTGGAACTTCTTTAATCTCCAAGAATAGAGATGCAACAGTAAAAATAAAACAATATCAAGAATACCTATACGCACTCGCAGCGGTAATGAAGCTGTTGTAGTATCGGAAAGTCATTAACGGCTCGGACAGGGTTCTCAGGTAAGTTTTGAGCGCGCTGGTAATAGTTTTACTCTCCCATTCAAAGCGATCGCTCAAGTTGAGCTTATCCACTTTCCTCTTGTCGAGACCCATCGTCAGGAGCTTGTTTACTTTAGAGGCAACCCCGACCACTCTGTACAGACCTTGTTCTTCTAGTCCTGTTGTGACGATTATTCAATCGATTAAATCGACGATATCAGATGAGCGGAAAAATTAACTTGTGGAAAAAGTCACAATTGCATTACCTCTATCTTCGAGCGCCGCAATGCACTTTGATACGAACGTAAAACCGGTTTCAGCCAACGTCACATCTTCGGGTCTTGTGGAAGAACCTAACCGCGGACAGGTCTGAAAAATCCCGACGGTCACACGCAATTCGTTATTCTATAGATTGTCCATTATTCTTAACAAAATCACATACTTATAATATAACAATAAATTCAATTGTTTCGACATTATTGATTTCATTGTTTTGTCATAATTATGTGAAAAGAATCACGTAATTATAATAAAAACAATAAAAATCAATTATTCGACACGACTGATTTGTTGATCTGTTAGAACTTCTTCTGAATTCTGAGGAGACAACAAATCAATGTTAGAATAATTGATTTTTATTGTTTTATCATAATTGAAAAGTAATACTAGTGGTAAAAGCGACCATTCGAGTGTCATTGAAATGCTAACTAAGATACATACAGGTTCCTTCCCATCCATAGCGTCCATCCATAACTTCCTATCCTCTTCGGAAAGCGCTTGGAATGTATATGTTACATTAGGTCTGGAAAAAAATAGTAGAGAGTCTTCTTTAATCGTTTTTCGTTTACAATAAAATAGAATAAATTTTAAGGTAACCACCGAGAAATATCTTGCCACGAAAACCCCTCTAATTAGACCGTTCGAAACCGGCGTTAAAACTATAGGTACTTAAGCGTATATCTGTGTAAATTTTAATAGCGCCACAGAAATACTGTTGAGAGGATCACGATACTCGGATCGGGTTAACGACTAAGAAATTGCTCGTTATTCTATAGATTGTCCATTATTCTAAAAGAAAATCACATACTTATAACAATAAATTCAATGATTCGACATTATTGATTTCATTGTTTTATCATAATTATGTGAAAAGAATTATGTGAAAAGAATCACATAATTATAATAAAACAATAAAAATCAATGAACCAACACACGATTGATTTGTTGTCTGTTAGAACTTATTCTTCTGAATTCTAAAGGACTGAAACAACAAATTAATCGTGTTAGATTAATTGATTTTTATTGTTTTATCATAATTATATGATTCTTTTAAAATAACGGGCAACTTCTTAGTCGCTAACCCAATCCGGGATCCCTCAACGTATTTCTGTGGTGTGCGCTATTACAATTTACACAGATATACGTTTAAGTGCCTATATCGGTTTTTTAACGCCAGTTTCGAACGACCTAATTAGAGGGATGTTTTCGTGGCAAGATATATTTCTCGGTCGGTGGTTTTTGCCATTGCCCTTCCGAGAGATAGCGCTCGAACGGCTCGAATAAAAATCCAATCGTTTCCGATCGGATTTGAATCCGAGTCTTCGGCGTGGGAAGCAGACGCACAACTCCACAATCGCCACGTATAATGTGCACGATACAAGGTCGAACTTCAACTTACTTATCAATGGCAGTGATGTCGAAGCAAAATCTTTTCTCGATAGTGTCCGACATTCGTCGTATGCAAGACGCCAGTGTAAAGGTTTCTTTACTACTCTGTAAAAGTAAAGATCAAGAAATTATACCGAAGATCCATAACGGATCGCCATATATTGTGCATATTGAAAAATTCATTTTTCCACTTTCACTTACAAATTTTCCCGTGAGCTGATTGTAAGGGATCATAGTGAACTCTTTCCTGTCCTTCTGATATGTGCAATATTGTTTTGTCCATGTTGTACCAAACGCTTCTGCAAATACCACGTGTTCTTACAATTAGTGATGTGGTCAGCGACATTCGCAATATAGTGCGTAAGAGATACTTGTACTAAAACTCTCCAAGCAATCAGTCTCTGACCAAAAAAGATCTTTTTACACTACGATGGACTTACTTTTCTCCATTAGGAACAGATATCCTTCGCGTGAGTTCAATTTGTTGAGACCACTTTCTACCGTGGACTAAGAAAAACAAAGACGATTATGGGTGTGAAATGTAGAAAGTATACTTTATGTTTTTAAAAATTCACAACTACTAATAAGTAACTATTAATATGCTTAATTTTTAACGCTTGCGCGTTACGTGATAGAATGATATAAAACTGCAGAGCAAGTCGTTTTTATTAAGTAATGATATAAAACTACAAAGTGTGTCGTTTTTATTAATTAAGAGGAAAAAAAAATACAAAAATTTCTGCATAACATACCTTCTTCATGTCCTTCATTTTATTCATAAGCGATTCAGTTTTATCCCGGGTAGCAAGGAAATTCTCTCTAGTCTTGTGAAACACACGCGCACACGCACAAATAAAAGATTAGTAAGCGCTTATTCATGCTGTTATCAATCTTATTATATTGGTATTTGATGAAATATAATTTAATCGCGCGAATGTTATTCAATCTCTCTGCAGCCATGATACTTCCAATATCCTCATATCGTAATGCCAATCAAATGTTTAACAACATATTTCTGTTTTATATATGTTCCATTTGTGCATTGCAAATACAAGTTAAACTTATTTTATTAGCAATTATATATGCGCGCGTTATTTGCGGAATTCTATATATTTATCTTTTAAACTCTTATCAAAATTAATTTCCAATTAATTGCTAAAACGCGAATTATTGACTTGTGCTTGGCAACGTGTAATTTTAGCTAATTCAAGCTGGAAACGAAGAACTCTCATTGTCAGTGATATTAGAAATACTAATTAGAGCAAACATGTATCTACATGTTAGTGATGCATATTTCAACAAGATTTTCTTGCATACAGACACACAGCGATAACACTAAATTATTCAGTCATTAAAATAATGCCTCTACGTTATCGTTTCACTCGCATTAATAATATGGATAATAAGTACACTGACTAGAGAGATAAAATATTTTCTCCTAATATCGTATTTAACATGTATGTTTAAGCAGTTAAAAAAAAACACGCTATAGATATTAATTACCAACCTTCTGAATCTTTAATTGTAGCTCTGTCATATAAGGTTTGAAATCTTTCGCGACTTCGTGGCCTTGATGATAAAATGTCAGCCATCCAAACATAAATCCCAGCAACTGGAACATTTTATATTAAATGATTCGATATGCACATATGCGTGAAACTCGCGTGCACACAACAAAAGATAACTTAATCGTTCGCACTATTACCGTTTCAACAAATTCAAATTTTTTCCGTTCCTGCACCTCTTGCAGTAAAAATACATATTCTAAGCTAGCTTGAGAGAAATGTCTTTCAGCCATCTCCAACGTCGCGTCGGCCTAAATACACACACACACACACAAAATGCCAATTATTTTATTATGTAATATACAGCCCTTAATTTTTCATAGATCCATTAAAAATATACCTCTTGCAAAACATTGTCCTGCTTCTTCGTGGACAAATTCAAGTAACGCTCTTGACTCTGACAGAACTTAATCGTCTGTTTCTCAAATTTCTTTTTACCATCCTGCAAAGTTAAAACACACAAAGTGAATAAAATTATTTTGTCAAATCTTGAAATATTTTGCATATGGATATTTATTTAAATAATAATAAATAAATAAATTTAAACAGGTCAAATAGACAAAAATATAATAGCTTTACCTTAACTCCACCGATATGTTCTTTCCTAAAGTTTTCCAAAGGTAGTATAATTTGATCATATGCTCGTTCCAGCTAGAAGAAAGAGAGCTATTTTAAGGGATGACATCATCACTATCTGTTGGGAAGTCTCCTTTGAATTTATTCTTTCATGTATCGACGACACTTAAAGAGTTACAAAGTCAAGTACGTCAGGAGCCACAAGCGCAAAATGTGTGTGAATAGAGTCTATTGTTCTACAAACTAATTAATCCGCATTCGGAAAAAACTGCATACCATGCGATCCCTCTCATCTTCTATGGATGCGATAAGTTTGCCAAATTCTTTCAGACTTTGGGATATGTGAGTCTCGTCCTCGGTTTGGCTCTCGCCGATGCATTCAAAACTAAAGTTTTGCAACGTTTTGGAAAAGGCTCTTTGCGCTCTAGACAAGTCTGAGGAAGATACCAACGTGTATATATATATATATATATTATTATTGACTAATTTAAAACGAGCAAAAAAGGATAAGACTCTAAATTAGTGCAACACTATTTTCTACGGTGTGTATCACCGATTGGGGAAGGAAAACAAAGAGGTAAGATAAGCAGACCATCTAAATTTACTTCGCGGTGGTGGAACGCTGCGGAAAGGAAGCAATCATCGGCTCGACAATTACGCACGAAGATATAAGTTACGTGTGCAACAGCTGTTACAACAATCACATGTTTCGATAGTCCCGCGAACGTAAAGAGAGAGAGAGAGAGAGAGAAACATCGGGTACAACATCCGCCCGACTCGGCGGATCAGACACTCACTCTTGGCGGCCAGCAACAAATCCTTGACCTCCTTGACGAGCCGTTTGATCTGCTGGCTGGTCTTCTCCAACTCGCGCTCGTGATAGTGGAGATTCTCGCGGAAGTACGGGCTGTCGGTCAAGCAATCCGTGAACTCCAGCGGTTTGAGGCCAACACCCATTCTCGGTTCTCTCTCTGTTTACGAAAATTCAAAGGGTCATGAATAACACACACCGTGGCAGGGCGGTGGGGTAGGGCGCCGCGGATCCTCGCTCGTACACTGCCCGCGCTGTCAGCCCGCGATCGCCCGCGGATAAGGTCGCACGATCACTATCTCATCACCGCGGGATTATATTCGCGCTGATTCGCGCAGATTCGCCATCGTCGCCCGATGCGATTCGCGATGTGTGTGCAAACACCTCACGGTCCGATATAGACTGCATACACACACACGTCACACACACACATACGTACGCACGCATCAGCTCTTGCACAACTCCCGTCAGTCCCGTCTCGTCGCACACAGCTCCCGCGTCTCGGTAGTATTGGTGTTTGGTGTTCTCGGGAACTCGCGCGAGGTGATTCGATAAACGGAGCGAGGAGCGCGTCTCCGGAGTCGGTGGTGGAGAAGGAGGAGGAGGAGCAAGGGGAAGAAAATCGAAGACTATACGTGCCTGTCACAGGGGATCCCAATTCATGATTGTGGCGAAAGAGCAGGTCTTTCTTTTTAATTGTGTCTCAGAAAGCGGAGTATAAAATGTATACGCGGAGTATGGAAGGGGGGGGGGAGACGTAACGCGTAAAGGTCTATCCACGCGCGAGGAAAGCCTAACCACTCACAGTGACGCGCGTTTTCCTTTCACGCGCGGCTGGTGAACCGCGTGAAATTATTTTCTATTCGCTTTGAATCGCCGAGGATACTATACGCGCGTGATCGTTTTTCGATCGGCGTTCGCGTAACGGGGTAAATGTTGAGACAAATTTTTTCACACCGTCCAGAGTCCCCCTCGGCGCGCGTCCGACCGGGCCAATCCGCTCCCGCGACCGAACGTCGTCTTAAAGCCGCCCCGGGGCGAAGTGAACACACGTCACACGACGACTCCAGTCCAGTTACAGTAGTTAACACTAGTCGCAGTTTGGCCAGCCTGCGAGACGCGAACGGTTTAACCTCGCCTCCTTTACCGCGACGAGCCAGCGGGGCCAGCCAGCCAGCAGTGACGAGCGCGACAAACCAATCGCCGCTCGCACACCACGACACACCCTTTCCAATGCTCGTCTCGTTTATTTTTGAGACAATCCTGGCGAGGTAGTGGCTGATAAAAAAAAAAAAAAATTACGCTTTACGCGCTTGTCACACAATTGTCGACGTCGGCCAAATAAGATTTTGATGTTCGTCGGCCTATAACCAATTTAAATTGCGACAGTATGGTAAGACTCGTTCAAGCCTTTAACGTCGTCCCGTCGTCCGTCCGTTTATCCCACGTCACGTCACGCTTGACGCGCGCACCTGTAAATAAATAATCCCCCCGGGAATTGTCCACGCGACTCGAGAGAGAGCCTCGGGCCCACCTCCTGTCAATCGCGCGCTCCCTCCGCTCGCGCCCGGAATTTCGCGCTCGTTTACTGGGAACTCCACTGTCGAACGACGTCGATTAGCAACGTCGTAAATACATAGATCGTATACTCCTGTTTTTCTTTTTTTTTTTAATTTATTACACGTATGTGTTTTAGACAGAGCAGCAGATGGACTGTGCGCTAGACCTGATGCGGAGACTGCCTCCGCAGCAAATTGAAAAAAACCTCAGCGACCTGATCGACCTGGTTCCTTCGCTATGCGAGGATCTACTGTCCTCCGTAGATCAACCGTTAAAGATTGCCAAGGACAAGGAGTCCGGCAAGGATTATCTGCTGTGCGACTACAACAGAGACGGGGATTCGTACAGGTTTGATTGGAATGGATATTTAGGATCGTCTGACGCGAGTGGAAGAGTAGAAGATGGTTCGCCTCCGTACAAACGCCGACGTGTTTTACAGGTCTCCCTGGAGCAACACCTACGATCCGCCGCTGGAGGATGGCTCGATGCCCTCCGAGCGGCTGAGGAAGCTGGAAATCGACGCCAACCATGCCTTTGATCAGTATCGGGAGCTCTATTTCGAAGGTGGGGTCTCGTCGGTGTACTTGTGGGACTTGGATCACGGCTTCGCGGCGGTGATTCTCATCAAGAAGGCCGGCGACGGCTCGAAAAAGATCAAGGGATGCTGGGACTCGATACACGTGGTGGAGGTGCAGGAGAAATCGACCGGCCGCACCGCTCACTATAAACTCACGTCGACGGCCATGCTGTGGCTGCAGACCAACAAGCACGGCTCCGGTACAATGAATCTGGGCGGCAGTCTGACGCGTCAGGTAAGAGTACAGCACACGATGCCGAGCTGTAAATTAAAATTTTAGCTTTGTTAGTTTATTTAAAAAAAAATTCAGTTTGTACATCTCGGATGGATGGTTTAAAAAAAGGAGTGTGCGCGTTTTGCTTACAATCGCAGGTAGAACAGGACGCTCAGATCAGCGAAACGTCCCCCCATATCGCGAACATCGGCAGAATGGTGGAGGACATGGAGAACAAGATTCGTAACACGTTAAACGAGATCTACTTCGGCAAAACGAAGGACATTGTGAACGGGCTGCGGTCGGTGCAATCCCTGGCCGATCAGAGACAGCAGGCCGCGCTCAGGCAGGATCTCGCAGCGGCGCTGCAGAGGCGAAACGCCAACAATTGATCTTGCGAAGAGCAGGAGAGTTTCGATTACGATTACGAATAGATTTTTCATGGTATTTTTGGATCCTTTCAATCTTGCTTGGGATCTTAACGATTTTCATAGACGTCTTTATATTTTTAGAATCCGCGGAACTTTGGATTCTTAAAAAAAAAGTTCTGAATTTTTTGCGGCGGTCTTCGAGTTCTTTATCCGATAAGTCTTATATATATAAAAAAAAAAAGAAATCTTGTTGGACTCTTGGGAATTTTAAATGCTGCGACCTGGGCCTTTTCCAGGTCTGTACCGTATCTATAGAATTCGTAAAAATCCTTGGAATCATTGTCTACACTATTGAAGAATGACACTTATTAACTGTACTTTGTTGCCCTAAAGAGATACGAATCAATCACGAACGCGTTGATTAAACCTAAACAGTATGAAATACTTTGTTTAATTTAGAATGAAATAGAGTTTATTGTAAATATGCGGGAAAGGTGCAACGCGTTTTAGAACGGTAAATTAGATAAAGAACAATGTAAAATGCAAAAGAGAGTGAATTATAATATAGTTAATGCTTAACTACGTAAAAGTTCGAAAAAAAGGGATACAATTAGCAATTCTCTCTTTTGATTTGTATTAAGTTCCGACACAAACGATGATCGCAAAAGTGGTAATAAATTCATAACATTTTTGTAAATGTTTGGAAAGTATTAATATTCCGCTTATACTGTTTAGGGTTAAATTTAAAGGCGCGTAACTCAGCGCTGAAAACAATATTAAAAACGGTTTGCGTAAAATTGAATGAAAAAGAAATGTATCGTATTGCATTGTCAAGGAATCTGTCCTCGCAAATGGAAAAATCTTTTGAAAACTGTGCACATAAGAATTACGTGAATTCTCTTCATTTGTATTAAAATCATTTAGATAACTAATTTAGAAAGTGGCAAAGCTCAAAATTTTTGTAATTGTGTAACATTTGGATATTGTGAAAAGGATAACCTTATCTACGTTATTTAATATTAAAATCTGAGGCATAGCTGATCTCTCCTCTCCGAGGGACAGTATATAAAACGATTTATTTACGCAAAAGTCCAAAAAGGAGCGGTTGCATTTTGCATTTGTTAATAATGAATCCATATATAATGCGCAAATAAAAGTTTTCAAATTAAACTTTATTCGTCTCTTTTTTTTTTTTCTTGTATTAAATTTCACGAGTACAAAAATCTGCTGGTACCACAGATCCTCGATATCGCGGATCTTTTATTATATCGGAGCCTCTCCTCTCCTACGCATATTTCCGTATACATGTCTCGGCGTGTTCCACGTATTGCACGGATCTTTGATACTACAGATCCTTGGACTGACAGGGTTATCTAGGATCTCAAAGATCGCCAGTACCACGAATCTTGGCATCTTGAAGGCAACAAATTGTGTCGAAGGTCCCCCCCTTTATCCTCGTTTCTTTAAACTTCCCGATTCTCGGTACGCGAGGCGTCGCGGATACACGCGAAGACTCTTGGTACTATAAATCCTTGAACCCTTGTTAAACGACTGCGCAATCATACATATTGTGAATCTCTCGCATATTCTATATATGATTCGTGAGCGCATTAGATTATCTTTTTGCATAGCGGAGACACAAAGAAAAAATACCGAGTAGAATTCGTAAGTACGTAAACGAAAAGAAAAGCGGTTTCTTTTATTTTTTTTTTATGTTAGTGCCTTCTTTTTTACACTTGAATTACACCACCGATTATTATTACCCACAACTTATTTCTTTCGTAATTATATACTATCGTAGGAATTAACTTAATAACGTAATTTAACAATTTTTTTTTTTCGATTGCAAATTCCGATTGATGGCAGTGTGCGGGCGAGTCAGTCTAAGAAAGGACTAAAAAAGACATCACCATATCGCTCCAGTGTGAATATTTTCTTCCAGTTTTTCTATACTATTATTTTTTTTTTCATATGTATATTGACACCTTCTCTGTCTCTTTCGGTTACAATTAACAATCGAAAGAATTATGAGCCTGGTCCAATATAGCACACATAGGTTACAGTATTAATTAATTAGACGTTATTTTGTTTATTTCGATTATAATAGGTAAGTTTTTTTTTTTTAGATTTTAATATCGTCGCAAAAAATCAAAGTCATCAAGGAAGGCGCGTTGTCTCGCGGTTACCCTTTTTATTTAGAATAAAGGATTTAAAAAACAAACTTCTCTTATAAGATATATATGTAGCTTTTCAGGAGGGATGTAAGGATAATAATTGTTAGATATATCGGAATTTACATATACATATATTTGGCGATTTGGGGTCTTCGTATTTATTTGTTACGTAAAGGAACTTCGTTAAGTGTTGAAGGACATTTCAATCGCTAGGAGCATATTTGAAATCGGCGATCCTAACGAGGTTCGGTGATGCAAAGTTCTCGCAGCGAGAGCCCATCAAGCAATCTGAATGTTTTTAACGTAAGAAAAAAGAAAAATAAAAACTCAAGGAATCGATCTAGAACGCTGTGTATGTATTGGAGATAAATTCTTTTTTTTTTTTTTACAGCAAAACAAGATGCGAATTATCGCGAGGACACCAAATCGAGCAAATTCAAAGTCACAGAGTTCCATGAGGGAGAAAAACGTATACCTTCCAATGATAACTGTGATTACATTCTTGTAGTTAATTATCTGCTTATAATTATTCCTAATCATTCAGACTGCACTTTCGGAACAATTTTTTTTTCTTCTTTTATACAAACGATGTCACGAGATGGAAAGGATGTAAGGAAAAAAAAAAAAGATTCTGTTCACGCACACTTTGCAGGTTCACACAAGGATCTTCAACTCGCGGCCCTCCTCTCACTTGTATCTAATAATCTCTGTTCTAACGTTACATAGTCTAATTAAAAGTTATCTTATTGATTGAAGGCGGTTTGTGTAACCTGTTCTGAAAAATGTTTATTAAAACGAGATATTACAACAAAATGTAATAAAGTCTGAGCATTCATAAGCCAATTACAGTCTCTGAAACGTGACGCGATTTATTGCATCGCGCCGCACCAGCCATCTCAAAGCGCGCGAAATGTTACTTTGTGTGATCTTTAGTCTTAAAAGATCTCGACGTTCCTGGATTTAAAGGTCTAAATCGTATATATCCCGACATCATAATTTTGAGCGCGTTTCTCAAATTCTTACACATTTCACGTCCCATACAAACTGACTATTTCAAAGCCTCTGTATCTTTGAAAGATAAAATATATCAAGGGGCTTGCATGTTTAAAGATTTTAAACATCTAAATTCATAGATTCTGAATCCATGAATTTAGATATGTAATTATTTATTCTCTATTCTTTTTTCTTAGAATCCATTAATTTTCTCAGATACATGGATATGCAAGTGTTCTCTTATCGATCCTTCTAGATTCTTCAGAAATAAACATTTAGAATGTTAGTTTTGATTGTGAAAATTGTCAAATCCTTAAGCATCTAAGACTTGAAATATTTGAGTTTCGAGAATCAGCAAACTTTTAATTCTCTGAAAGGTAGAACCCGTGAGTTCCTGAATCTTTCAGATCGCGTAAACTTCGACATTTGTTTTTTAAGCTCAAGTTTTTATTAGACCTAAAAATCTCGAGAACTCGAGTTCTTCCCATAAAAAAGAAGGAAACCTTTAGCATTCTGTAGAAATTCCATATAGCGAAACTCCAGTCTTATCGATCATTACAGGAAAGATGCTTGAAGTGAGCTGCTTCGTGTATCGGGCATCGCTAGCATCCCATGAAAAATTGTTCCGCGCGCGCGCTCAAGGACTCCAAGGGTCCTTTTTTTCCCACGACCTCTTCATATTGGTCTCCAACAATTTTCTCGCGCTCTCTCTCTCTCTCTCTCTCGCATTTCTCTCATGTACTCTCTCTCACTCACACGCATAAGTGTAATAAGTTACAAAGCTGTTGTAAATAATTTCTTTCTCTCTATTCTTTAAAAAAAAAAGGTCCAGGATGTGTCTCAAGGCTTTCTCAGTTTTTATTTTCCCAATCAACTTTCTGCTAAAAAGTTGTCACCACTTTCTTATATTAACAAACAACGCGTGTGTAACTTTCTAGGTATACGTGTAAGGTATATCTATATGTATCTGTTTATCTGTATTGTGTACGTGTACATGTTTAAATGTATATAACTGTACGTATACCTAGTTTTCGCTTTCCCAGATTTATTTAAATATTGTTGGATAAAATAATTAAAGCGGATATTATTTCGATAAAAGTCGTTTCTCGCATTGGCGCGTTGCTGTTGTTACGTGGAACTGCTAGCCCGTTTTTGCTTTGCTCCCCCCCTCTCTCTCACGCTCTCTCTTTTTTTCTATTTCCGTTCTCTCTCTCTCAAACACTCTTTCTTTCTTTCTCTCTCTCTTCCTCTCTAACGCTCTCCCACTCTCTTCATCATCTTCCTCTAGATTTTTTGGTTATAGTATTGTTGTTTATCCTGTTTGACCAATAGTAAAGGTGTTGATTGATTGGCTAAGCGGGTGGTTTTTGCTCGAATGTGTGTTGGGCTTCTGTCGTCGTAGTCGTCGGGCTGAACACAATTATTTGTCGAGGGAGGTGTTATTTTTGACGGCGATTACTACCTCCTCACCGCATGCCTTGAGTACAGTGCACTAAAAAAATTATAACATAGTATTTTTATTATTCCAGCGTGGAATTCTTGGAGATAATTTTTCTTTAAAGCGATACTGTTATCGGTCGAGCAAAGGAAGATAGATATTAATTTTTTAAACATAACCTTTCTGTACAAAAAACGAAAGAAACTTAAAATTAAGCAAACATTTTTGATAATTGAACAATGCTATGAGTCATCAGTCAATGCGATGAGAACAATCAGTAGCACAGTCTTAATTTTTATAACACAAGTTCTACAACTTACTGTTTACAAGAAATCAGCAGTAAAAAAACAAAAATATTTTATTGTAAAATTTTGAGAATTTATAATAAAACTGCATAAGTTAATAAATAATTGGCACAATTGGCATATTTATAACAGATAACCGATAATTAAGAGAAAATGTATATCTTGCCTACAAAATTATAAATTTGAAACAAGACGAGCTCTCCATATATGTCTCTTACATATGCATCTCCATATAGTTTCAGGATATGATTCACAATTGCATTCTCAATATTGGAATTTGAGTGTATGATGCAACATGCAGGAGTATTAAGAATGCTGTATATATGCCATATAAAGGCATACTTACAAGTAACTCTTTTCCAGATTCATAATCAGCACGCAGCTGTGTTCCCAAATCACCATCAGGTATCTTGAGATCTTCGCGCAGTTCTCCATTATCAGCCATCAGACAGAGATAGCCGTCGTCAGATATATCTGTAAGCTGTCGCAAAACAATTGCAATGTTTTTCATACCTTCGTGAAAGCATCATTATCTACGTCGCAGACGGCTAGTCAAGTTTGAAAAATTTTATTTATTCAAACCATTCATCCAACTATCTTTGCGATATTATCAGCAAAGTTTAAGATAAGACTACAAAATGCAAATAACACAAAGTATATTTATAAATGTAAAAATAAAAGGATAAACAATGTTTTTTAATGGTCTAAAGAACAAATAGATCACAGAACAGTACAGGACGAGCTTATACGCGCTGTACGTAGTTTGCTACATGCCAAGAAATTGAGGAATGCGCCGTTACCTGGTAATCTTCCCGCTTAACAAACGGCACATCCATGTTGTGTGTGGAGGGGCAGATATCTTCGTATTTCTTGGAGGTAAATATGTCGATACCCACTAAGTGGACCTTGGCGTGACCGTGCTTGCCGGTCTTAGAAGTCGACATTTCTACGATCTTGCACGGACGTGATTTCAACATGACGAAGCCATTTTTGCGCAGTGCCGAGCACTGTTGAGGGTATGTCACAGAGGCGCCGGAATCACCAGTCTCAAAGTGAGTATCCTCGATATCTGCCATTGTTGTTTGATGGAAATCTGCGTGGGGCATAAATATAAATTTGAAATTAAAAACTGGGCCTACTTAAGAGCACCGGATTCCTCACGTGGAGAACCGCCACTTTTGGAGGAACAGCGCTCTAAAACTTGGCACTAACGCTAACGATTTTACTACGACTTTTTTGCCCACATGTCCTACTAATGACGCACTATTTGTTTATCAATGACGAAGCTATTTCGAAACGAAACGACGTTAGAACGGCATTAGCCCGGCTGCCTGAGCGTCGGAAACGAGGAACATCGGTCGCCCCTTCTTGGCAGTAGGAAGAGGAAAACGACCGAAGTTTACGTGGATGCGACAAACATTCACGCCTTTACGGAAATATCCGCGCAATCTACGTACGCACCAACACGTCGTGCGGATCGAGTTTCTATCGGGTACGTGACTCACGGAAAAACTCGGGGCGATCCGGCAACGTGATTACACCTGGACGAAGCAGGGTGACCACGTGGCGCGTCGTCGCAGGGAGTTCGCGCACAGTGAGCGAGAGAGAGAGTGAGTGAGAGAGGTGTCGGAGGCGGACGGGAGGCGCGACTAACCAAAGATCTCTCGCGCGACCAAGCACGGGGGGGAAAATCGCGATCCTGGCGGCGCGGGTGGACTCGCGCGCGGGTCACGCTCGTCGGCGTGCGTCGCGACGCCCGCGCGAACACCCGCGAGCGTCGCGCCGGGCGTATTTCGAGCGGATAAGGCGGACGAAGCGAGGCGCACGAGAACCGAACGGTGGGCCCGTGTGTGATGCGAGGCTGCTGACCGCATTGCCAGCGCGGACCGCGTCGCCGTCGCGGCGCGTCGCGTCGCGGCCGCGCGGACGCGCGCCGGCCGGACATTTACCCGCGTAATTTTAATGCTCCGCCACTCGTACGGGCAATTAGCACCATTAGTCGAAGCCGAAAGCGAGAGCAGCTCGGAATACTCACATGTGATCAAAATGGATACTCTAACCAGAAGGTCGTGCTGCGCCGGCGCGCCACGGGATCGTAATAGGGGTTCACAACAACGACTTCACGGATGCTCTCTCGTCGCCGAGCTCTCTCGCGCGCGGCGCGGCGCGGCGCGGCGCCCCCGCAGCGCCACCGCCGCGAAGCCGCGCGTTTGAATCGCCGCGACTCCCCGGCGCGGCGCTGGATCTATACTTTTGTTCTCGCGACGCGGAAACGACGAACGCACTTTTCCGGAGTTCAAATTGGCCACGAGAAGGATTTTTGGGAAGCTCGAGCTTTCCCCGTTCTGTCGAGCCGAATCGACACACTTGAAAGATTTGCCGTGAACAACAAGTGAAATTTATTAGTCCCGAAACACAATAGACGATGTAGTAAGCCTTAAGAAACTGACCAATCATAGTCGATTATTTCTCTTCAAATATTCGACTGCGAATGGTCCACTTCTTAAAGGTCCATCTACAATGAGAGTAGTAAATCGTAAGCCGTAAGAAATTCACCAATCACAGTCGAATATGAGAAGAATAATCGACTGTGATTGGTAAATTTCTTACGGCTTACGACTTACTGCTCCCATTGTAGATGGACCTTAAGGCTCACTATGTATGTGCGTCTATTGTGTTTCGGGACTTAAAGATGCCAGTCATTAGGACAACCTCGGTCAAACTCCTATTAACTTAATTAATGGCGTTAACTTTTACAAAAAAAAAAAGAAATATCTTATGAATAGGATTATAAATTTTGTTGCTTTTATTATAATATTTGAGCATTTTTCCGCGGTTGAATTACCCATACAGCACAGAAGTTTGCAGCAATATTGCAGCAAAGTTGCAACATTGCATATTGCAATGCAATGCTTCAGAAACATTGTTAAAATATAGATTTGCAACATTATTTTAATAATGTTGTAACAATGTTTAAAAGAAATGTGAAAAGAATTAACTACGATTTTGTGTTTAAATACTGTGTGTATACGCTTACGCACATCTTATAATCATTAAGTTTTATTAAATATCAATTAATTTTACATAACAGCACATGATATTCTTCGTTTTCCGTTTTCATGATTGTACTACGATCATCGGTACAACTGAGATCAACACAATAATATCTCGTATAGTATTATTTCATTTTCTTTCGTGCGTGTATGATCTCAGAAATAACTTAATTAATAAGCTACGGAAAGTAATACGTACGCTTGTCTAACGCGCGCATATCAAAGAGAACAAAAAAGTTAGTCAAAATATTAAATTTTGTACTTTAATACATGTAAATTTTATATTTACAAATGAAATATATTTTAACTATATATATTTTATCTTCTTGACAACTTCTATTTAGCAGATGTATCACTGGTATATATCTGTTACCAATAAATGTTCATAGATCATCACGAAGCAACAGTTCCCGGACGATCATAAAGGTTAAGCAGCGTTGGACTAGGTACATAACTTGGATGGGTGACCGCTTAGAAATACAAACTAAAATTAGTTTCCAAACCTATTTTTTAAATCATAATTTTGTAGTGTGTATTTTCTTTTATTTTCTGGTAGATCGGAAGAGCACACGTGGGGATA